TTGACCATGCAAGTTCTAATGATGTTGGAATAAAATATCTCCAGAATCGGTTAGAAAGTTGGAAGGGTAGTGTTTTGAATGGTTGGTTCTTGATGTAGAAACAAGGTGGAACTCTACGTACTTAATGTTGGATGTGGCTTTAAAATTTCAGAAAGCATTTGAGTTGTTGGAAATCCAAGACATTAAGTATAAAGATGAACTTATTAGAGGGGAAAAGTCAAGGGGTTTGCCTATGCCTTGTGATTGGAAGTATGCCCGTTACTTGTTACCTTTTTTGAAAGTTTTTTATGATGCTACTCTATGTGTGTCGGGTTCACTTTTTGTTACCAGCAATGCATACATGCGCGAGATCTTTGCCATTGGAATGCAGATTTCAACATGGTGTAGAAGTAATGATGCTGGCTTAAGTACTATGGCTAGGAGAATGAAGGGAAAACATGATAAATATTGGTCAAATATTGATAACATCAACTTAATGTTATTCATTGCAGTGGTGTTGGATCCTAGATTCAAGTTATATAAGATATGTGAATTGGGTTATTAGTAAATCCTATGATGATGCTAATGCTGCACTTTTGAAGACAAAAGTGCATACAACTTTGTACTCTTTATTTGACCAATACAAGCTCATTTATAATTCTCCAAGTGGACAATCTAGTCAACAGTCTCAACAAGCAAGTCAGGTTAATGTGGAAGATGTAAATGTTGATCCTGAAGAATTAATGTATTGTATGTACGATGAGGCAATGGCTGGACAGGAAGTTACAGTGACCAAATCTGAGATGGATAAATATTTAGAGGATGAAAATGAGCAGCGTCACAAGGACAAGATGTTTGATATCTTGAGTTGGTGGAAATTTAATTCAAATAGATATCCAATTCTCTCTTCGATAGCACGAGAGGTGTTGGCTATGCCGGTTTCTACTGTTGCATCTGAGTCAGCGTTTATCACTGGGGGTCGTGTATTAGATCCATTTCGTAGCTCCCTCACTCCTAAGACGGTGGAGACTCTTATTTGTACACAAGATTGGATTCGGGGCTACACGTGAACCATTCATGATTGAGGAGAGCTTGGAAGAGATAGCAGAGCTTGAGTCAGGTAAAGTTTTTGTTTTTGTTTCAATTATTAGTTATTATGTTGTCTTTATTGGATTTATTGACTGAATTTTGAATTTAACCATTATTTATATAACCTATTTTTTGTAGAATTTGTATCTTCGGCAATGGGAAATACTACTTGTATTCATCTTGATGATCGAAGGTTTTGCTCAATGAAAAAAAATATGATTTAATTTTTATAAACTTCTAACATTTAATTTTTATTTGGGCAGAAATTGAGAGATTTACTCGTATTGACTTAATGTTGGTTTCCGCTTTCCACTTGTGGGGTTGTATTTGCCCAATTTCTTTTGTTGTTTTCCATTGGGACTTATTTATTTATTTTGTTGTTTTATTATGGAACTTTATTTTTATTTCATTTCAGATTTTTATTTGTATCAATTTCTAATTTATTGTTAGTAGTGGTCAATGAATATGTATGAATGTTTAATTTTTATTTGGATATGTATTGTTTATATTTACAATTTAATTTATGACAATTAAAAAAAAAAGTTTTATCAAAAAAAAAAAGAAGGGAAAACCGGTTTTCCCTAAAACCAGTTCGGTTTTGGTTCGAGAATTTTCCCGAACCGAAAATCTGGTTCGGTTCAGCCGGTTAACCGCTTTTGAACACCCCTAGGCTTAAGCCGACCTAGCGCAATACTATTATTTAGAAGACAAAACGCTCAATATAAATTTTTCCATGGGATGATGAGTGGTGTGCTTCTATTAATTTTAAAAGAAATAAACAAAATTTCTTAACTATTGTTGTCTGAATAGTGCCATATGTAGGGTTAGAAATATTCAGAGACAGGGCAGGGACCTTTATCTCAATGTCCCCATTAAGATGGCGACTCCTCTAACCTCGTCCATGACCCCAGCCTTTGATTTTTTGGAACGGGGCCGAGGGCGAGTATCCTTGGAAGGAGATGCAATACCCGCTCTCGGCTCAACTTCGCATCGAAAAATATTGAGATTTTTTTAATTTACATTTGAATGAAATATTAATTATATGTATACTTAATATAGTTTATAATATCACCGGGGACGGGGATAGGATTGGGTTGGGCAGGTTTTCACCTTGGAAAAAAATACAGCCACTGACGGTAGTGCACCGAATGACGTGACAAAATCCTGACCGTTGATTAATTTTAACTTAATATTAATCAACGGTTAGGATTTTGTTACGTCATTTGGTGCATTACCGTCGGTGGCTATAGCATTATTCTTTCACCTTTCCCCATCCCTTCCCCCCTCTCGGATGCTTGAGGTATAATTTTTCCTCGCCCCTAACCACGGACTTGTTTGAGGATTTTTTCGTTTGACAAGATTGGACTTTTCTGTGTATCCAAGCCCGTTAGGTTTATCTACCATCCGTGGGCATGCGGATGGTAAAAATAAGTGTTTTTTTTTTTTTTTTTTTTTTTCCCTTCTGGTTAAATGTAAAGCCGATGGATCTTGAGATTTACCCCTTTCAAAAAGCTAATTAACTAGGAAAGAAGTAGGTTCAAATAACATTACTGATATAAATATAATGAAATTTCAATATAAATTCAGAGTACAAGGTAAGTTTCCGTTCCCAATATATATTTTGGAATTGGAAAAATAGAAAGGATATTATATGATGGTCTGGATTTGTTGTTGAATATAAGGAGAAAGTAACTAAAAAAAGCTTAAGAAAGATAATGATGGTTAGGCATAAATAAGCCAAAATGACCATGAATAAAAAACAACGATCATAGAAATGAAAGAATATCTTATTATAAAATAAAGTCTGATGAATGAGTATTGAAAAATCTAAACAAACGAACGTCACATGAGCAATCATATGATACCACATGCCCATGAGATTTACACCGACTATTGAGTCAAAATCATATGGGTTCATAGTTTTGGTGCAACACAAGTCATGTGTTGGCGACCAAACCAATTTCTTGCTTATTTTTATTAATAATGTAATCTAAGTTCCTAGCTATTTGCTTGTCTTCAGCTTGTTTACAGGCACAGAACACGCAATCCCAGAGCACATGAGCAACATATATATCATCTCTTCATTTATGGTGTTAAGGTGTTCAAAAAAAGTGATTAACGTAAAACATATAATGCATTAATTTTCCTTCATATGTAATTAATTTTAAGACTTAAACTTTTGTTTCTTCTCATAATTAATTATCCCATTTATATTTTTACATATCTTGAGATTTCTTTACAATTAAAAATAAAAATGATATTCATAATTTCATACTTGATCCTTACAATTAAGTGACGGTGATACTTCTTATTAGCAATATATATATATTTTTTAAACAAATTAAGAAAAACTTTCAGTGTTATACTAATACATTGTGGGATTAACTCCAAAGAGTTGGCTTGGTAGTTACTGAGAGATTTGCTCTCTTTAATTATTGAGTTTTTGGGTTTGAATTTTAGAGTCATCTACCACATTATAAAAACGATTTGACTTTGTAAATTATTACTTTGTAAAATTTCTATTTTTTCGGCTAATATGAATACAGTTTTTATATGTAAACCCTTGCAGAGGTTAGATCTTAATAAAAATAAAAAGTTGTTATTTTATTCATAAAACGAGTTGGGAATATAAGATTACAATTTAAAATCATTGTGTTCTATAAATTCTAAATTTAATTCTTAAAATTAATTTTGTGTTTCTTTTATTATTTTGAGTAATATTTTTGAAATATTATTGGTAGGTAGAGTTGGGTGATTATTACGAGGTAGAATTTAAAAATTAACAAAAAAACTTCTTAGGTTTGCTAATTTAACTTAACAACCTAATATATAAAATTTTTGTAAAATAACAAAAACACTCCCCACCACACACAATTGCCAAATTCTGGCCACCACCATCGGAATCTAGCCGAAATCTGACGTTACAACATACGACCAGTTGGATCTGACCGGTCGTGTGCCGAGATGGCCTTTTCCAGCCAAATCCACCTTAGATCTGGCCGAAAAAGACAGATCTACGGTCAGATTTGGTCGTGTTTGTTCGTCAACGATAGCTATGTCTTGACCATCATTGAAGACCAACTACAACCAGATTTTTGGTCGTAGATCTGGTCGGTAGTGATAGATCGACGTACTACCGATCAGATCCAACCGGTAGTGCACCATTATACCAGATTTTCGCCACCTTCCGGCAGTGGTGGCCAGAATTTGGCAAATGTGGATGGATAAGGGTGTTTTTGTCAATTTTTAATTTATTTTTTTTTTTTGTGGTGTTTAGTTAAATTAATAAATTTAAGGGGTTTAAAAATAATTGAATAAAATATAATAGTACTTTCAGAATAGGAAAACAAACGTGTATTTTGAAAATAGTATTAATAGGTTAGAAAAAAAAAATTAAACAAATTTAAGATTCATTTTGGCCTTTTGTGTAGGAATCTGATACTATAATAAATTTTAGATTATATTTACATATATTTTTGGATATCCACACCTATGTGGGAATAATATGACAATTAATTCGATATCTAAAATTTCATATAAATTGCAATCTAATATTGGATTTCCAAATCTGAAAATATAATATTATTGTTCTTTTTTATTTGAGTTTATTTATGTTATGTCATTAAGGTTTAATTTATAATTATAGCCAAAAAGGATGATAATAAAATGGGGATGGATACCCAAAAATAATAATATGAGCCATTTAAAAAAAAAATAAAAAATAAAAAAACTGCCTAACCCACTATATTTGTTAACATTAGTATCCATGCTGACCTAATTTTACCATAAATACGTATTAATTTTGTGGGAAATAAAAACATACAAGTTTTCATGCACAAATGCGAACTCATCCCCTATATATACAACTAAGTGCAACTCACAAAAACACATACACAAAAAAGTACTTTCATTGATATACAGAGAAAAAGAAAATGGTTGGCTTCGAGAAGGTAGCTAATGGTACCAAAGGTTCCTTGCCATCGGCTGAAAACACAAATACTACCAATCGCTCACCAGATTCCATCCTCAATCTTGTACAGTAAGTTCATGATCAACATTGTATCCGTCCTCACAATTTGCAAAACCTTTTTCCTCTCCTAATTCTTTTCTTTTTTTTATTTTTCCTTTGGGATGTTTTTTTTTTAAGTACTGGTACAAAGGTTTTTGTCTTCGAATTTCCATCGTAACAGCTGAAGGTTTAGTTTATACGTGTAAGTTTAAAAAAAAAAAAAAAAAGGAGAACTCTGTCTAGGGTTTGAGTTCTTGATGACTTTCCTCCTTTTGTCCTTTCATATTTTTAAAAACAGTAATCTTGATGAGAAGTTTGATTAATAACCATGTAGCTTCAGTTATTGTTTCTCCGGATATAACAATAGATATGATAAACTGATTTTAAGCGATAAAAATGAAGATAATTATGGATAATTAATGATTTCTAAACAGGGGTGATCCTACGGTGTTTGAGCCCTACTGGAGGAACCAAGGAGATAAGTGTTCATTGGTGATCTCTGGCAGCGATTTTATGAGCTATTATAGCGATTGCGAGAACATATGCTGGTTTCTGCAACCGCAACTGGCTGATGCGATCAGAAACATTCATCGTGATGTAGGCAATGCAGTATTAGACGGTCGGCATATCGTGATCGGGACTGGCTCAACACAGCTGTTTCAGGCTGCGGTCTACGCTCTCTCTTCTCCTGCTGGCCCGGAACCCATCAGTGTGGTGTCCGCCGCTCCTTATTACTCGGTTAGCCTAACTGAACCACACTGACAAGTTACAACCGTTGATTTCACTTTAGTCAACTATTTTTATAACCGTCGATTTGTTTTTATTCAACTCTAGGCATTGACCTCTTTTCTAGAAGTTTTTTGATGAATTTAATGTAGATCTTGATTTTACGAGCAGGGCTTAATTTTTTTCTGACAAAGCTGTCTCTTGCTGTCTTGTCGAAGTTTTGTTTGGCTCTATCTGTGGGCAAACTCTCATTGTTTAATCCACTGCATTCATTATTTTCACGCATTTTTGCGTATCCTTGTGACATGCTAACATGTTAATTGATGCCCTTAAACTCATGTAGATCATGAGACATGAAAGTGAAACATATTTATTGAATGTACACATCTAGAAACAACAGAGATATCCATGGGGCATATATTATGGATCCTGAGGCAAACATGGTAACATGCGCATGTCTAATTGGAGAACCATGTTTGGTCAAACCTAATTATATTAACATTAATTATTGTTGGTCAAAAGATAATTATGAATTGGAGTTGATTATGCCACATTAAGTGGCAAAAAAAAGTCATATGCTTTATGATGGAATGCATGCGCATTCGATAACCAGCTTTTCCTTTTTATGATCTAAATTTGATGTGCTTTTGTTTTTGTTTTTCTGTTCGTGGGTTGTAGCGATACCCGGAGGAGATTGAGTTCCTTAGCTCAGGGCTGTATAAATGGGGCGGTGATGCAAACACATTCGACAAGGATGGACCTTACATTGAGGTGGTCAATTCACCAAACAATCCTGACGGTACTAGTAGGGACGCCGTGGTGAACCGAGTCGAAGGAAGGCTTATTCATGACTGTGCTTACTATTGGCCTCACTACACACCCATTACTGGTGCTGCTGATCATAATGTTATGCTTTTTACATTATCCAAATGCACTGGTCATGCTGGTTCTCGCATTGGGTGAGCAACTTCATCTTGGTGTGCAATAGTTTTTGGAGTAGTCCATTGTTGATATTAATATTATAACTCACGCCTTTTTTTTTTTTTTTTTTGAAGCTGGGCGATTGTAAAGGATATAGAAGTTGCGAAAAAAATGATTAAATTCGTCGAGTTTAACTCTTTAGGTGTATGTAAAGAATCCCAGCTTCGAGCTGCAAAGATTCTTGAAACAATTAGCAATGAGTACTCGAATTTGGGGTGTACAAAAACAGAGAACTTCTTTGAGTATGGCCAACGCCTCATGGCTGAAAGATGGAGAAAGCTGCGAGAAGTGATTAAACGCAGTAAAGTTTTCAGCCTTCCTGAGTACCCAAAAGAGTGCTGCAATTTCTCTGGAGAGTTCATGGAATCACATCCTGGTAATATACATGTACACTTCCATTTTTTCTTTAGCTCTTAACTTGCTAGCATATTGGGTATCTTAAAATTAAAATATTTGAAAATATGTTTGATAAAATATTTAAAAATTTGTTTGTAGATTAAAAATTTTAGAAAACTAGGATAAGATTGTATTTGAAAATTGTTTTCGAAAACATTTCGATTCATTTCTAATTAATAATTTTTTTTTTTTTTTAATTTGCATTTCTTATTTAAAAGAAAAAGGAAAAAAAATGTATTTAAATTTTATATTAAAAGGGTCCTCAATAACTTGGTACTTGATAATTCTTCTTGCAACAGCCTTTGCATGGTTGCAGAGCAAAGGAAATATGGATGCTGAGAAACTCTTAAGAAGTCATAAGATGATGGGGAAAGGCGGTAAATATTTTGGAGTTGATTCAAAGTACGCTAGGGTTAGCGTGGTGGGTCGGGAGGAGGATTTTAACCTTTTGTTGGAAAGGCTATCGGCTATCAAAGGAGTAGAAACAGAATAATGTGTCTCATCTTAATTAAGTCTTCTTCATCGTGATCATGATCAGGATTAACTATTTAGATTTTGTTTTATAATATCCCTAAAGCAACTGAATATTCTGTCCATTTGTTTTGTCTATATATTCAGTTTGCTAACAACTTTTAATTCTATATAATTAAATATAGAGTGGAATATATTCATATCTGAATTTCAAATATTTTTTGTGATTGTTATTGAATATAGTTATAATAATAACAAAAAAAATCTTAATCACATATTTTAATAATAATATGACATACATGAATTGAACTGAAGTAAGATTTTGATTCAAAAACACCTTTCGATGTCTAATAGCACGTGATCCATGCATCTTAATTAAGCATAAAACATGTGATTTTCAAATGTTCACATAATCGCTTAATTGAAATAATTTTCTGTTCTAGTTCTAGAAGCTAAATTTTCCAATGTTACCATCTCTCCTAATACTTTAAACTCTAGGATTTAGACTAGTTTGCCCTAAAACCCAGTGTGTTTGTGGGTTGAACGACTCACACCTACCCAAGGTTTATCGTAATGACAAATTGATACCTAAAAGGTTTGAAAATGATAAACTAGTACCTTCCGTCATGTGTTGTTAATAATTTCCGTTTGCTAATGGTGAAAAGACTAGAATGCCCTTGAAAGTTTAATATTTTTGTTTTTTTTATAAATTTAAAAATTTATAAAAACCCCATAGGTTTACTAATTTAACTAAACAGCCTAATATATAAAAATTTTATAAAATGACAAAAAAACCCTACCACCCGTAGTGCCAAATTCCGACCACCACCACCGGAATCTGCCCGAAAAATTATGTTACGACACATACCGGTCGGATCTGTGTCGTAATGCGTCGATATGACCTTTTTCGGCCAGATCCACCACGGATTTGGTCGGTAAAGACCAGATCTACGGCCAGATCTGATCGTAGACGGCCGCCAAACTCCATCTTTGGCCGATGTGGCCGTCGTTGTTTGTCAACGATGACAAGATTTGGCCGTCATTGACCGTCAACGACGGTCATTTCTTTGGCCGTCGTTAACGACTAGATCTGGCCTTTTCCGGCCAGATTCACTGTGGATCTGGCCGAAAAAGGCCAGATCAGTGAATCCAGGTGATGTAAACCGTTGTAACAGATTTCGGCTATCACTAACAACACATGACAGAAGGTACCAGTTTTTCGTTTTTAAACCTTTTAGGTATCAATTTGTCATTACGACAAACATTGGGTAGGTGTAAGTCGTTCCCCGGTGTATGTCCAATTAACTCCCTAAACAAGGGAAATTTGTTGGTTCCTTGGTGTGTGTTTGGATTACTGTACTGTAACTTAAGAAATAATCATTTAAATTTTAAGCTATCACAATAAAAGAGAAATGATCATTTAAGTTTTAAGTTATAATAATAAAAGTGTTTGGTAAACAATTTTTAAAACTGATCAAGTTTAAATTGATTGCAAATTAATCAGATTTATAAAAACATACTAAAAGCTCAAAATCCGATTATTTTCAAAATTGATTTTCTATGTTTAAATCACATATATACCCATATGTTATGTAATAAACTAAATTACAAAATAATATTTATATTAAAATTTAGCTAATTAAATAAATTAATTTGAATAATTGGACATGCTATAGCTGCCGAAACAGTCGCCAAACTACACTGCCGGAGCAGTCTCTGTCGACACCACTAACTTTTTCTAGTAGAGCGTTTGACAACACCGCTGGTCTCGCTGAGATCGACGTGAGTCAATCTATACGACCCCAACAGCATCGCCAGAACGAGAGGTGGCTTTAAGCAGCAAGAGGTTATCGAATGTTTGTCGGCTCCTGCAGCTAATCTCCGCAGAGGAATTCAGCGAAGTAACCGACATCAGATAGATTTTAAAAATCAAAACAAACACTTTCAAAGCTGATTATTTTAAGGTTGAGCAAAAATATAGAATACATTTGCTAGCCTACGGAAGTGATCTTTTAATTCAGCCCTATCCTCAATTTAAAAAGGGTTGAAAACATAGTTTTACTTTATCTCTCTATTTAAGGCTTCTAAACCCTATGATATTCCATAAAAGTTAAAATCATAACCGTGTAACTCTTATGTTAAAGTAAAGATTAATATTTAGAATGAAAATTTAATGTTTTTAGCATGGAAAGTAACAATTTATAGCAAAATTAATGTTTGATTAATCAAAATTGTTGTGGAGCAAATCCCTAAGCATGATTCACGTCACAAGTCATTCATTTTAGGTTAACTTTATTTACAAGTTTGTCATTATAATGGTATACAAGCTGATTTTTTTTTACCCTAACTGGGAGAGTTTTTTCGTTCATACTTTGTAAGCGATATTTGTGCATAGAAAAAACATAGAAAACAATACAAGAAAAGTGGATATAGGATTTACACCTGGTATTCGAACCACTTTTATTTTATTTTATTTTTTTTGTGTGTGCTATTGTTTGGTTTTTTATTCACCTATTGATCTAGCATCGAAATCACAAGTTTCATACAAACTTCTAAGTAGACTCCACCACAGATCCTACATACATCTTGTTGGTGCAAATCGTAACATCAATATTTTGGCACTAGAATGAGGACTTAGGCCACTCTCAAGCCCCTCACCCCTTGCAGGACTGTGTTGGTGCCAAAATCCTACATCACTTAGGAGAGGAGGGCCTTAGTTGCTTACATAATACAAGAACACCCTCACCACCCAGAGGCATCTTTTCGAGACAAAACCGTGCAGGTCTCAAGGTTCAAAGTGAACAATACTTCTAAGAACTCACCTACCATGTGTTTGGATTCGACATACATTAATAGTTGGCGTTAGAAGGAGGGCCTAGGCCACTCCCAAGCACTTCACCCCTTGTGGGGTTGCGTTGGTGCCAAAATCCTACATCAATTAGGAGGCGAGGGTCTTAGTTGCTTATATAGCACAAGGACACCCTCACCACCCAGATGTGCCTTTTCAAGACAACAATGCAGGTCCTAGGGCCCAAAGCGGACAATACCTCTAGAAATCCATCTGTCATGTGTTTGGATCTGACATACATCAATAAAATAAATAAAATTTTTTAGAAAATTTAAGGCTTGGTGGAATTACAATTTCAAGTAATTGAACAAGAGGAAGTGAGCAAGTGTTAAAAGCTTCTGTCTTTAAGTGGGGAAGGCAGCATGGGAGGAAGCCAACAAATGTTAAAAACTTAGTCTTCAAGCGGACAAAACATGATGAATTATTTGGGAGTTAACAACTTTTTCCCATGCAAATAATGGTTTAATGACATTTTTTCACCCATTGACTTTTAAAATACCACTTTATTACCTAAATTTATATTTCGATGTTAAACAGAGAGCAAACTCGATTCAAGCTGTTGGGGTTTTTGAAGAGGGAAGGTCAATGAGTCTTTTGGTATTGAATGTTGGATTTTGGTGGTTGGGATTGTCTTGGGAGGGACGGCTGCGTAAACCCTAATCGTTTGGTTGTTAATGATTGGCGAGTTCGTCGAAAGTAGGGTTTGAGAGGTTTTAGTAAGTGATGATCAATGAAAAGAATGACAATTGTGTGAGGTCGCAACAATACTAGAATTGAAAATGAAATATAAATTTGGTTAATAAAGTGTTACTTTAAAAGTCTATAAGAAAAGTGTCATTAAGATATTATTTGGGTAGAAGAAAGTCGTTTACTCATTATTTGGCTGCAAACTGAATGATAAAAAAAGAGGGGTGAATGAATGCGGAAAGTGAGAGAGATAGAGTTACTTTATTTTGTTTATGTTTTAATTGGAGTTAATGATCAATCAAGTGGGGTCTAGAGCAATGTTTTAAAACCCGGCCCAGCCTGACCGGTTGAATCGGTTAAACCGGGACCTGGCCAGGCAGTCGGGCCGGGTGAGCCATATAACCAGCAAAATCACTTTGCCCAGTTTGACCTGCGGTTGGACCGGGGTACTGTAGCACCCACCGGTCCAACCGGTAACTTTACAACAAACCGGGTCAAGCAAAATCAAATACATTTATACAAAATTTAAAAAATAAAAATATTAAATTTAATAAATTATATTAAGTCTAGAGATCACCTCCGCTTGTTTTAAAGACGTGTAACTTAGTTTGGGCACAGGCTGGAGTCATAAGACCCATGGACCTTGAAATTCTCAAAATCTAGTAGCGAACCTTGGCTGAGGCTGTGATACTAGTGGATTAAGGTAAAGTAATACTATACTTACAAAGATCTTCGTATAAAGTGATATGACAAAAAATGAATGGAAGAGTAAATTTTATAAATTTGACTTTTTGTTTCCCTCTTCTATTTATTTTTTGTCACTTTATTTTGTATAAAAATCTTTGTAAAATTTCTTTGTAAGTATACGATTATTCATTAAGATTTGATTGTTTTAACACATATCATAATTGGGTCCTAACACTTGGCTTAGCGAACTACCACATAATTTGCGTTATAAATTTCAATATATAACTTTGTTTCAGGACTTCAGGGTACATTACATTATATTTTTTTACTGTGATTTTTGAGAGAAGACCAAAGTATAGGTCACAGAAATTGCCGATGGGTCTGTCATTTTGTAAATAATGTGACATTCAGTTTTGGAATTCTCATTGTGAGTTAGATATTGATTCCCAGGGCAGATCATTCTTGTCATGGGGTCTCCCTAAAATTGACCAATCCGGACTAGTGTTTGGTGGAATAGTAAATCCGGTCTACTGACTGATATAGGGATGACCTTTTGGTAAGAAATACTGGAAAGCCAGAGGCCAACAAACCAACAGCCACAAACAACTTGTAATGAAATTCCCATCCCTTCCTCTTCTTCTTCCAACGTTTGGTTGACAGCACGAAAGAACCTGTCAAGTTCTAAAATCATTTTCATGTTGACCAATTTAATTGCTTGCCCCAAGCTATAACCTAACTGGGATCATTTGGGCTGTTCATGATTAGAAATTAGCTTATTACATGTTCCGCTATGCTTTATACAAATAACCCACCTAAGAATATCAGGATCGCTTTACCTTCCAACTTGTAAGATTCTAAATTTCTCAATAAATAGATGAATAATAAATTACAATCTAAATCTTAAGAATAATTCATGTAACACTTTTACTTACCTCAAATAGTCATACTGATATTTTGGGCTTTTCGTAAGTTTCATTCAGCCTAAGTGCGTCTCGAAAACTTAAGAGATCACAAGATATTTATCTTATTTTCACTTTTCTTTCTCAAGAGATGTGGGTTGTCACAATTCACTTCCATCGGTTCTAGCATCCTTCTTGAACTACCCTAGACCATCCAAGTGTGTTTTAACTAGTTTAATGTTATAATTTCCTAAAATTTTACTTGGATGTGTTGAAGCAGCAAAACCTCTAAACCATTATAATATATTAGAGTAATGTTAGGTCTACCATCTTCTCTCACAATTCTCGACGTGACAGGTCACAATTGGTCAATTTGCAAATGGGTCTCGTCTACCTATTTGTGAATTAATCAATTACGAACTATCATGTTGAAAGTTATAAGATTTGGTTGTGAAGCAAGATTACTTTACTATATATTTACGAAGAAGAAAGATATGTTGTGAGTTTAGTGTAGACAAAGCTGTAGTTATCCAGGTCAAGAGGCAATGTAATAGTCTCTTGTGGATAAAGTCTAATAATCTGAAATTTTTTTTATTTTTTGTGAATGTAAAGTAGTGGGTGCATGGATGGAGAAAACCCAACAGAAACAACCACCACTCGTTTGAATCGACCAAAGCAAGCAGCCAAATCCACTCTCACACACACCTCCCTTTCCATCCAAAAATCAAAAGAATTGAAAATGAAGTTAAACTTTCTTTCATTTCTTCTCTACCACCTACTTCTCTCTGTCCTTCACCTCCACCACATTCCATGGCCAACAATTCATCTGAATAATTCCTTTAGATACTGTTTATTCCCTCCTTATTTCCTCTACCTCGTCTCTCTCTTTCCAAGATATGATTCCCTCTTTTTGCTTATCTTCTTCAAGAAACACTTCTACTGTTTCACCAGAAGCACTTTTTCTTCACAACAAATCTCATTTTTATCTCCCTAAACATCCTTCTTCTTTCTCTAACCATGATACTCACTTCTTCAAGAGAGAAACTCTTCTTCTCAAGCCCAATTTATCACTTCCAAAATCATCTCTTTCACTTCTGTTCCTCAAGAACTCAAGACTCACACACTCTTTTGCAAGTATTTCCTCCTTTGCTGGAGGTGAAGAAGAACAAAAAGAAGAGATTCAAGTTCAAAACCATCATCATGAAAATGCAAAAACTGAAGATGATGATGATTTGCCAGGAATGGCACAAGCCTTTAACATATCTTCAAGCACAGCCTCTGCTATTTCTATATGCATAGCTTTTGCAGCGCTAACTCTTCCTTTGTTTATGAAGTCTTTGGGTCCGGGGCTGGACTTGAAAACCAAATTTTTATCATATGCTACACTTTTGTTTGGTTTTTACATGGCTTGGAATATTGGAGCCAATGATGTAGCTAATGCAATGGGGACTTCAGTGGGATCAGGTGCCTTGACTCTGAGACAAGCCGTTATAACAGCCGCTGTTCTGGAGTTTTCAGGGGCGTTGTTGATGGGAACCCACGTGACCAGTACAATGCAGAAGGGGATTCTTGTTGCTAATGTGTTTCATGGGAAGGACACTCTGCTTTTCGCCGGCTTGCTCTCTTCTTTGGCTGCTGCTGGTACTTGGTTGCAGGTGCATTTTTTGAGCTTTATTTATTTAGTAGAGTGTGCAGTGCAGAAATTTGAAATTTGAAATTTCTGATAATTGTGAATCCAAGTTTGAGCTTGTTAACAAATATGAAATCCCACCTGTGTGCAGTGGATAACTATCAAAACATGAAAAAGGATATTCATTATTATCTTTTATTAGTGGAATCAGTAATTGTATATTACAGGCGGCTTATTTTGATGCACCATATTTTGCACAAAAGCGGCTTATTANATGTTGTGAGTTTAGTGTAGACAAAGCTGTAGTTATCCAGGTCAAGAGGCAATGTAATAGTCTCTTGTGGATAAAGTCTAATAATCTGAAATTTTTTTTATTTTTTGTGAATGTAAAGTAGTGGGTGCATGGATGGAGAAAACCCAATAGAAACAACCACCACTCGTTTGAATCGACCAAAGCAAGCAGCCAAATCCACTCTCTCACACACCTCCTTTTCCATCCAAAAATCAAAAGAATTGAAAATGAAGTTAAACTTTCTTTCATTTCTTCTCTACCACCTACTTCTCTCTGTCCTTCACCTCCACCACATTCCATGGCCAACAATTCATCTGAATAATTCCTTTAGATACTGTTTATTCCCTCCTTATTTCCTCTACCTCGTCTCTCTCTTTCCAAGATATGATTCCCTCTTTTTGCTTATCTTCTTCAAGAAACACTTCTACTGTTTCACCAGAAGCACTTTTTCTTCACAACAAATCTCATTTTTATCTCCCTAAACATCCTTCTTCTTTCTCTAACCATGATACTCACTTCTTCAAGAGAGAAACTCTTCTTCTCAAGCCCAATTTATCACTTCCAAAATCATCTCTTTCACTTCTGTTCCTCAAGAACTCAAGACTCACACACTCTTTTGCAAGTATTTCCTCCTTTGCTGGAGGTGAAGAAGAACAAAAAGAAGAGATTCAAGTTCAAAACCATCATCATGAAAATGCAAAAACTGAAGATGATGATGATTTGCCAGGAATGGCACAAGCCTTTAACATATCTTCAAGCACAGCCTCTGCTATTTCTATATGCATAGCTTTTGCAGCGCTAACTCTTCCTTTGTTTATGAAGTCTTTGGGTCCGGGGCTGGACTTGAAAACCAAATTTTTATCATATGCTACACTTTTGTTTGGTTTTTACATGGCTTGGAATATTGGAGCCAATGATGTAGCTAATGCAATGGGGACTTCAGTGGGATCAGGTGCCTTGACTCTGAGACAAGCCGTTATAACAGCCGCTGTTCTGGAGTTTTCAGGGGCGTTGTTGATGGGAACCCACGTGACCAGTACAATGCAGAAGGGGATTCTTGTTGCTAATGTGTTTCAGGGGAAGGACACTCTGCTTTTCGCCGGCTTGCTCTCTTCTTTGGCTGCTGCTGGTACTTGGTTGCAGGTGCATTTTTTGAGCTTTATTTATTTAGTAGAGTGTGCAGTGCAGAAATTTGAGATTTCTGATAATTGTGAATCCAAGTTTGAGCTTGTTAACAAATATGAAATCCCACCTGTGTGCAGTGGATAACTATCAAAACATGAAAAAGGATATTCATTATTATCTTTTATTAGTGGAATCAGTAATTGTATATTACAAGCGGCTTATTTTGATGCACCATATTTTGCACAAAAGCGGCTTATTATCATATTTTGCTCCTCGTTGTGCAAAATTACTAGAGTATTAGTTTATTGTTAAGATGTTAAAGTGCTAGTACTTATGCTATGTTTATAATTATTGTTTCCCAGATTCCTTTCGGGCATAATCACAAACATTGAATTCGATTGAGCATGCTATCATGAGGCTAGAATTTTTATTTGTTTATTCTTAACTTATAGAATTATGCAACCTGTATGGGACAAAAGGGGAGCTAATAACAAGAAGCCTTCGACTTTTTGAATGAAACACAAAGCTAGTAAGAATATTGAGATCGTATTTGGACATTATTATTTTGTTTGGGGCCGAAAAGAATCTATTAACTAGACGGGAGATTGCAAAAATTTGCATGGGATAGCTGTCCCTTTAAATTACTCAGTATACAAGACAAGTTTTATTGTCTTATGCCGATTAACTTTATAACTACTAATTCTAATCGAACAAAAGGGGAGTTGATGGCAAGAATTCTTTCGGGATGTGGCATATGGGAATACATTGAGATGCAGTTTTGCTATACATGCCATTCTTTATATGGAACCGTACAACTTGTCTGATACCTTGAGTTTTCAGTTACTGAACTCATACAGGGTTCAAATAAAAAAAAATAAAAAAATTGCATTTTGTGTGGGAGTGTGGAATCTCTTGAAAAGGCATCATTCTGCCCAGATTAAAGATATGAGTTTCTTTCACCCCAGATGAGCTTATGCTTTTCAAATTTGGATTGTCAGAGATTGTAAATAGTGCAGTCAAATACTACAATGCATGAGCAAAGACTGAAAACTGCTGTCCATGAATGTATCAATCGTATAAATGAGGGAGACCCCGTCTATTATAGAATGATGGGTCCCTCTTTGAACTATGAATTTTAGATTTCTAATGGTTCCATAGAGGAAACAACTTTGTTACCATTAGTTATGATTTTCTCATATGTTTATCCAAAACAGGACATCTGCCTTCTAGCAATCTAGATCATTTCCCCATATTGCTTAAGATTGGGAAACAGATAAAATGTATGCCTTTTTAAAGAAACATGGTTCGTGTTTATATGTACCATATGACTGTCCAACATGATCTTTCTTGTAGCTAAAACAATCAAGAAAAGGTTCGATATGGAGAATCTATTTAAGTGCGCTTGCTTTTTAATTGCAACAAAAGGAAAGTTGAATATGATCTCTTTTAATGGATCTAGCACTGAGTGTTGTTCTTCCTCCATTATATTTATATGATCTTCTTGACTTCTCTTTTTATCTTGTAATAATGTTTTGTATTATCAGGTTGCATCATATTATGGTTGGCCTGTCTCCACTACACACTGTATAGTGGGATCAATGGTTGGATTTGGTCTTGTTTATGGGGGAGCTGGTGCCGTCTTCTGGAGTTCACTGGCAAGGGTGATTTCATCATGGGTGATTTCACCAGTAGTGGGAGCATTGGTGTCATTTCTTGTCTACAAATGCATCCGTAGGGTATGTGCTTGTTCTTTGAGACTTATACAACAAAAACTTCTACCTTCTTATATCCCATATGGTTTGCCTTGGCTTTCAAAAGCTGTAAACTTCTGCTTATGAGGGTGTTTTCTCAAATATAGTATATTAACCTAGACACCGTTTATCAACATTTTTTGTTTGAGGCTGTGCATTATTAGTAAAAGATTCACCATAAAAGCACCATAAGCCAAACAGAAATAAGCTACTTAATAATCATAAATTTTGATGTACAAAAACGTTCAAATTGTCCTGCATTGGGGTTACAGGCATGTGGATCACTCCAACATTCTTACAACCTTTTCTGTTTTCAGTTTGTGTACAGTGCTCCAAATCCTGGGCAAGCTGCAGCTGCTGCTGCACCGATTGCTGTTTTTCTGGGTGTAACAGGAATCTCTTTTGCTGCATTTCCTCTCAGCAAAATCTTTCCTTTGGCTTTGGTCCAAGCTATAGCATGTGGTGCTGTTGGTGCCTTTTTAGTTCACAAAGTGATCCAAAAACAACTTGGTCATCTCCTTGTCAAGTCCTCTTCTTCACAGCCAGAGCCCAAAGATACAACAATCCAGAATAAAAATCTTGGTTTTCTCTCTGATATTGCAGGACCAAAAGGTACCCAACTAGAAATAGTTTATGGAGTTTTTGGATATATGCAGGTTCTGTCAGCTTGCTTCATGTCATTTGCCCATGGAGGAAATGATGTGTCCAATGCAATAGGTCCTTTGGCAGCTGCATTGTCTATTCTTCAAGGTGGTAACAGTGGAACTGCCATTGTTATTCCACTAGATGTTCTTGCATGGGGAGGTTTTGGAATTGTTGCAGGGATAATGATATGGGGTTATAGAGTGATAGCAACAATTGGAAAGAAGATAACAGAACTAACACCCACTCGAGGATTTGCAGCTGAGTTTGCCGCAGCGTCTGTGGTTCTGTTTGCTTCAAAGCTTGGACTGCCCATCTCAGCAACTCATACTTTGGTGGGTGCAGTCATGGGAGTGGGATTCGCAAGGGGATTAAACAGTGTAAGAGCAGAAACTGTGAAAGAAATTGTGCTTTCTTGGGCTGTTACAATTCCAGTTGGTGCCACCTTTGCTGTTATCTACACATGGATCTTGACCAAGCTTATGTCATATATTTTATGATGAAAAATTCAAAAGATCAAATGAACAGTTTGATGTATGTGATTAATAACTCATCTTTTTTCTCTTTTTCCATTAAATTGTTTGATGATTATGGATTCTTGAGCTGATGTGGTTTCCTACGGTGGAAGTCACTACACATTTTGGAATCTGAGATTATACCAAAACTGGCTCCTGCTAAGGGATAGAGAAAACAAGATTGTGTTTTCCTGTTGAGCTTGGGTGCGAGAATTTTGTCCTTGAGATTCAAGTTCTTTTGTTCAATAAGAAACTGTACAAACTGCTTCTCGTTGAAATTGAGTAATTTGATTAATTGGAATGTTCGCTAAAGTCAAGCTAAAGATATGAGCTTACAGTGGAGACTTAAAAGGACAGACTGGTGTATTCTGGTGCCCAGAGCTATGGAGCTTCATGGCAGACTGATGTTTTAGATATTCGTTTGGTTACAGATCATGGGAAACAGAAGAATTCTAAAATTTATAAATCACAGTATATAAGACTATACATAATCAAGATACAAACAGATAAAAAAGTGACGGAGATCTCTAACAACATATCAATATTATTGAATAATTTGGCAATGGAAGGCAGTTAACGCAACCTCCATAAGGATACAAAAAGGTCCTCAAATCTATGGAAGTACACTTGATTTATTTCACTGAATTAATTCTTGCAGATATCTAAAGCAACCAACATCAATATATCATGAATCAACTCCTTTTCAGGACTGTACCGGAATACATAGAGGTGAGAGCCGCAATAAACAAAGTCATGGAGAAACTTCTTGTACAGAGGTTAAGCTTGGCTCCCAACCGGATCCATGACCAATCCTTCCTTTTGGAAGGGGGGGTACAAAAGGCTTCTTTGCTCTTCCACTTCTTCTCTTTGAAGGTCCAGACCACCTTTCCTTGGAGACATAAAATTCTTTCGCGGATCGAACAGGTTCATCCATATTCTCTCTCCTTGTATCCCAAGTGATCCTTGCATCTGACATGTCTATGCCTCCGGCAGGTCCTTTGACTCTAACCCTTCCGTGGTGTTTACGCTTCATTTTCTTTGCTGTAGAAGTTGGAATCATGTAATATTTCTGACCAGGCAATAGGTTCTCTTCTGGCCACAAAAAGGATTCATGAGGTTTCTTGAAAACTTCAGGTCGAGCAACACACATTCCAGGATATTTTTCCATCAACTGAGAGACGGAAACTTCATTTTGGTACAGCTCTTCTCGCCCACCAGCATGAACTATCCTCACAGAAATATCCTTTGATTGTGAGGTAGTGTCCAGAGAAATGGGAGCTGCCCTAAATTCTTTATTTCTTCTGGAACTGCTGTCCTTTTGCCTGCCTAGCCCCAATAATTGAGCACAAAGCTGAAACATTGCCGGCACTCAGTAGCTGTTTGATCCAAAATTTTCATTATAGTCTTCTGGCAGGGAAAGCGGAAGCATCATACTAGCTTGTAAGTATTTCAACATTATTGGTCCATTGTATGGGTTGCTTATCCTTTTGTTCTCATGGCCGGCTTTCCTTTATTTAATATTTTTCCACAAATAATAGTGATGAAACCAAGGCCTAGCAAAGGAAATATAAGAGAAAGAAAATCTCCACTTCTTCTCTTCCATGGCTTAACCGAAGATAGCATCAGATAAGAATAAGAAAAATCAGTAAGTTTCAAATTTAACTCATCAACTTGGTCCTATGCCAGCTCTGCACACACATCCTTGTCGTAATATCATAATCCCATAGGCCTGACAAGACCTGACGTTCCAGTTTTTTTAACCTCCCACTAATCCAGTTGTTGTGAAGAACAAGACAACCTGTCTTTGCACAGGCTCCTTTCACATTTTTCTTCAGCCACAAGTCTAAGTATGCGCCGTTTGGGAAAAGGTTTCTGTCCAAGAAATGAATTGTCAAGTTCGTTTCAGGTTCCACACATCTATTATCACCCACACGATTGGACCCACCTTCCCCACATAAAGTGTCATAGAAGCTTGGCTGCTCAGATAGACCAGAAGTTACTGCATGCTTCACCACTTTTTCCATAGCAGCAATTGTTGAACTATCAGAACGAGCAAAGTAGAAGCCAGAGTTCAAGCGCCTAGGCAAGTTTATGGGTCCTGAAAATAGAACAGCCGCAGAGAGGGACTGTGAGTTTATTTATCTATCTTCCAGTCCAAAAGGTTGACAGTTTAGTACTATATCATCAACATAGTCATATTAATGGAGGAGAAACAATGCATACTGCCAATGATAATTTTACAACCACTAACACAACTTTTTTAATCCATACATAGAGAAAGAACAAAAATTAGCAAGAAGAAAATTGCATTATAATCCAACAAGATACAAGCGATACTTTCAAGCCATGCCAATAATGATTAGTTATTTAAATTGTGCCAAGAGTGGGAAGTAACCTGCTGTGTTGTACTCATCAGACTGTGCTGCAAGAACAGAGGGACCGAAAGAGTAAAGCAATGGCATTGGATTTCTAAACCAATACACGTCCACATCACTCAAAAGTACATTATACCCCAGCTTCAGTATCTGCAAAACCATTCTGGACTTCACTTTGGTAACCCTCTGAAAGCATTTTGTTCCAAAGTGGCAATCATTAAAGCTTATATTACTTGGAGCTGATGGATCATTGAAAACAGGCAGGCCCTAGCACAAAATAGAATCAGACAAAGTGTAGATAAGCATTTCCAACAAGGTCAGAGGAAAATAGCAATGAAACAAACACTAAAAGACTTTCAATGAAAATTTCAAATGTTATTGTATATCACAAAGCACAAAGAAGGGGCACTTAAAGTGCTATGGTCAACACTTCGACCAAAAACTTAGATTTTATTGCTCAGTCAAATATATAGAAACATAAGGAAAATAATCCAAATTAAAACAGCTTCAAGATGTTTACTAGGGGTCAACTACTGGCCCCCCAAATCCAAAACGGATCTGCATGTATTTCCTATAATTTTTTGTGAAAATGCTTCTTTAATGCTGTTGATTACTAAAACCTTGATTTAGTAGAAGTATGCCAACTTCCTATTTTGTTTATGGTTGTCCATGCATGTGTTCACACAAAATGTGTTTTCTGCTACTGATAATGACCATAAAAGTCATTTAGAAAAGGAAAACAAAGAGTGAAGGTGTAGAAACGGATACCTGAAAGATAGAAAACTGATAGGTTTCATGGTCTAGCGCACAAACCATAAAATTTGTGACCCTGAGGAGGCGTAGTCTGCATACCCAACTCATTAGCATGTCCCTGTAGCTATATCCAGCAACTGCAAGCACAATTGTCTTATTCTTGTCTGCAACTACTGAAAGAAGTGACTCTAATGAAAATGGATAATCTAATGGAGCAGAGGTCTTTAACTGATCTGTGAGGGAGCAATCTAATCTTCTATTTGATGATTCAGTACCATCAACACACGCCATCGTTTTCTTTAACCTCGAAGAATGGAAGATTCTTTGCTTCCAGGAGCACGGCCTCTCATGTATAACTGGATAAACAGTATTTTTAGTTGTATTGACGATAAGATATTTCCCATAGCAATTCATAAGTTTTGCCAAATGAGAAGAATTAATTTCATGAAAGAAAGATGATCCATATAATGCTCCAAGATGGGAATTCCCAACATATTCCCAGATTCTCTTTTCTGCATCTGTAACGTGAGATACTCTGCCTAACTGATTAGACAAATGCATAGAATCATTAAGAGAAAAACTTGAGATGGTCAAACTAGCATCAAACACAAATCTGAATTCACATAACAAGGCCTCACTAATGACCCAGGGGTTGTGAGTCCCCTTCCCATACAAGAAAGGAGGAAAGACTCCATTATTTAAAGGTAGTTCTCCACTGTTCCATGCCATTAGCATTTTCCCTTCACAAAGATTCCCCTGCTGGCTCTGATCAAGTATCTCCTGAAACTGATGAAATAAAGAATGATGTCAATTGATTTCTCACCAACAGGTCATCAGCTTTCAATCTGGAGTATATTCCTTCATACCTCCTGGGCTCTAACCCTTTTTCCATCCTTTCTTAGCCAATGTTTTCCATCATCACTCAAGCAGAATGGGAAATGGGAAACATTGTGGGACGAAGCAACAAGGAGCCAATCCCGGTTAACTTTGTAAGCATAATTCAATGTGGAAATGAAGTCAGGCAAGAGAATAGTTTCAGGATCTATCAAAACATATATGTCAGAGGTAAATGCCCATGTCCTCGCCATCATCGAGTGAAAGAATGGAGTGCCAAGGAACCTAGAGTAGCAGAAGGTTAATGAATAAATTGACTTTCCTTGTGAATGAAACAAGAATTAGCTACCATCTATAACACTGAGCATCAACAAGTTTACAGTCAAATTGTCACATATCTGCTTCTAAATGTCTGATGCCAAAAGGAACAAATAAACAAACACAAAAACAATCAAGAGGAAAAAAAAAAAAAAAAAAAACAGAAAAGGATTAAGTGATGCCAACTCTTCGACCCTCAATTCATAGTGTTTTCAATGATTAAAAAACTCAATATCAAGGGTCATATTTGCTAAAATGGATAACTTTTCAACTGGGGACCAGTGATAACCAAATCATCTTTAAGTTCTTTAACCAATATATTCAACTAGACGCAGTGAAATCACATAAGAAGGAAAAAGAGAGAGAGAGAGAATGGTTAGCAAAAGCTTGTGTGCTTACGTGAAATCGATATTGGGTTCCACCATTAGTCGAGAACCGAAGTCCCTAGCAAAAGCAAATGCAGAAGGGTGTTGGGTGAAGAGAAGAACCGTTATTTGCGGTGACAAACCAAGCCAAGACCGAATAGCTAGACTCTGCCTGGATCCAACAGAACCGGTAAAGGGGGCAGGTGCACTGAATATTGCAATTTTAGGAGCGCTGTGATTAAATAGGTGATGGCTGATTCGATCATCATTGAAGCTGGGTAACTTACGAGTAGCATAAAAGGAGAGAGCAATGAAGATGAACCCAGATAGCCATATTGACAATACTCCAACTTGCAACACCTGTAAATAAATAAATTTAAAAACAAAAGTGCATTAATGAAATATTGACAAGAGAGAGAGAGAAACGCAGAAAGGAACTGCACCTTCATTGTTAACTTCATAAGAATGAAATGAAAATGGGTTTGTTTTAATTTTAGTTAAAGTAGAATTGGGTTTAGCGTGAAAAAGAAAGAGTGGAACTTTAACTGAAAAAAAATAGAAGAGTAGGAAACACACAAGCCGCCACTACACTTCAGCATTGGCAGTTTGGCACCACCAAGACCGGGAAGACCATTCAAGACATGTGAAGATTGGCGTCATCGATACATCACTTCCATTATCAAGAGTAAACGACATTTTCCCACCCAAGGTTTGGAGAATTTACGTTCCCACCCCTAGTTTCATAAATTGCAGATTCCCACTGTTAAATTAACATAGAACTATTTAATCTAACAGTTAAAAGAGTAAAATGGTCATTTCAAAGATAAAAATTTCAAAATAACCCTTCACTTCTCTAATTCACCCCACTGGCAATTTCAAGTCATTCTGGCATGATTCCCATCACTCCTAACACCACCATTACAGTCCCCTCAACCCCCACATCAAAACCCCTAACCTCTCCGCCTAATTGAATCCCCTAATCGTAGGTCGTCTCTTTTAGTGTCAATCGAAGTTTCATCCAAATTCCGGCAAGTCCTGACACCGAAAACCATCCCCAAGACCACCAATAGCATCGCCGACTTCGCCCCACCAAAACCCTCAACATCACCAACTGCAATTGCCCGCCAATCGCCGTCGCCTCTCCCTTAGGTTTTTGCATTTTTTTCGCCTCTTTACAGCCAAATTCTAGCACCTCGCCGATGTGCAATCAGGTGAAAAAGTTAGGAGTTTTGGTGAGAATGATAAGGGCATGTTGATGGTTGTGTCGGAGAGGTCCAATGGTGCTGGAATCAAGCTAGATTCTTGGTTTGATCAGGATCCTTTAGGGGTTATTTGAGATAAATTTGAGATATAAGGGTTATTCGAAGAAAAAAATAATGGCGTTAATTTAAGGATGGGAATTGCAATTTATGAAACCAGGGGTGGAAAGGAAATTCGTCAAACCTTGGGTGGGAAGTGGCGTTTACTTATGATAAAAATAATGTAAGTATGAGATCCCGATAACAATTTTTGTTAATTAAAACACTTGAGGTAAAACTTACTGTATTCAAACTTAAGAAGATATGTGATGACATAAGAAGCGCCATGAAATTACAGACAATTCTGAAAAAACAAAGAGACATGAGAATATTACTTCTCAATGTTGGAAATTTCGTTATATATAACAAACAAAAAAAAAAAAAAGGTTGCATATTTGACATAGCAAGCCTGGATTATACTGTGAAAATTTTAAGACAAATTTTTGCTATAATGAAACAATTATTATATAATTTATTATTATTATCGGAGAAAATCACGTACCAGCACCTGTTATTTCTGAATCTGTCACTTCAATGGTAATTTTTTTCATTTTTAATCAACAATAATATTATACTTACAAAGAAATCTTACAAAGATTTTTATATATTTTCATACAAAGTGAGATAACAAAATATGAATGAAAAAGTACAAAATGAGGTGACAACAATAATACTCATTAAATTTATTTTTCCATTTATTTTTTATCACATACAAAGTGAGGTGACAACAATAATACTCATTAAATTTATTTTTTTATTTATTTTTTGTCATATCACTTTGTATGTAGTGTAAGTGTAATATTACTCTTTAATCAAACCCACTAACTTTTATAAGTCGTTTCACTTTCATTGACCATATTAATTTATATTTTTTTTGAGTAAACGACATATTCCCGTCCAAGATTTGACAAAATCTCAAATTAGTACGCCAAATTACATTTATTCCAAATTTTTACCCTTAAAGTGATAGAAAATGTTTGATGTAACGGTAAAGGGATAAATTGGTCATTTTACATGGGCGGCGCACGTTAACAAACTACCGCCTCTAAAAATCCTTTGGTGCACGTTAGCAGACGACATTCCCGACATTTTTTGCCCTTTTTCCGGCGATCTTCTACCCAAAATCACCCTTGTCACCACCATTTGAACCTCATCCTCCCCTCTACAAAACCATACCTTTCATAACCCCTCATCACTCATCGATCACCAACCACGGCAACCGCAACATGCGACTGATTTTTGCCGATTTCTGGCTGTTTTGAACTACGAAAACCCCAACCACTACCACCATTTGACTCCTTGCATCCTCCCCTACAAAACCCCTAACCTTCCCAACCACGGCAGCTCACCGTTTGCCGTCCACCAATTCACGAAAAACCGGTCAATGAACACGAACTCTCGGCCAACGAACGATGACTAAACAGTTACTAAGGTTTTATAGATTTAGAGACGGTGGTTGTAGTAGTGGTGTCCAATTGGATTTTCGCCACCGGAATCCGACGAAGAATAGCAAAACCTTAAGCCTAACGGTGCTGACGATTGGAGGAACCAATGAGTCGGGAACCAGAGGGGTTTTGGACGATGAACTATAGGGAAGGTGATGGAGGTGACTTGGGGATTTGACATCGTCGAAAATAGCCCAGATCGGGCTATTTTTGACAAGGGTGTGCAGTGACCGAAGGTGTTTTTGGCATAATTTGAAAATAAATGATAAGTTTATGATTTTACTAATTTAGAGGTTAAAACATAATTTATTAATTTAAGGTTAAGGACATTATGATAATTACACCCTCTAACCCTAAAAATTGCTAACACTGTTATTTTAAGGGTAAGAATCTAAAATAAATATAACATAGGTATCAAACTTGGGATTTCGTCAAAATAAATATAACATAGGTACCAAACTTGGGATTTCGTCAAACCTTAGGTGGGACTGTATTTACTCTTTTTTTTTTTTAAATGAAATCTTAAAAAAAATGTTGCTAAGGGGGCTGGAGGTAGAGGTGGTCTCTAGTGGACTACCCACGCAGCCCCCATCATGTTGGCAGATGAATCCCAAGTGGTTTGCTCCATTTTTTAATTATAAACCAATAGTACTCATCGTATCCTTCAGAGAATTTGACCACTAAACATATTTTGCTCTCGCCACAAAAGAAAATAAAAGGATTAAACTAATCTGATGTTAGTGGATTGCCGTAAAAGTAGCTATCCAAATGAAAACCAATGGTTTTAAACCTGACTTGACCTTGACCTGGTCTAGGAGCCAGTCCCCAGGTCGGGTAATCCGATCAGTTGAACTGGTCAATCAAATTGATGACGTCAACATAACCAGTCAGTTTGAAACTTAACAGACATACCCATGTTCCTATAGGTTTGAAATCTAACAAATACACCCCTGCAAACTAGTCAAGAAACCCTAACCATCGCAACTGCAATCCACCTCAGATCAACCCAAAACCAGAAAAACCACCACCAGGCCACCAGGAAACCCTAATCCACCACAAATTAAAAAACACCACAATGTGCCACAACAAAATTTTATTAATTCTTGTCTCAAATGCCAACAAAATCAAACTCACTAATCACTCAAAGGCCGAGTGAAGTGCGACTAACAGCAAACAGGCAGATGACAAAGTCACAGAGCGGCCTAAGTAGGTCAACCAAAGGATGCACGGAGCAAAGAATGAAGATTGGAGAATTAGAATTGGAATAGAGATTTTGGTTTTAGGGATTTTAGAGACCTAGTTTAGCCACCAGTCTGGTTGAACCGATGGTTCAATACTATTCTACTGGTTCAAACTTGGGTCAATCCAGATCAATGCCTGAAACCGGGTTCCAAGTGTCCCTGGATCGAAGATGGGGCCAATTCTCGATCAGTCCAGTCCAGGTTTTAAAATCCTGACGAAAACAAGATGTTTGAAACGATTAGGAAGTCAATGTCATTACTTTCAATATGAGAACTGAGAAGGGCTTTGAACCAGCAAGCAGAATCTGACCAGCCAGCAGCAAATCTACGGACTTGGAGAACCATTAGAGTGTCTGCTATTGTGATTCACAAGGTTGCACTAAAATGCTGAACTAACTTTATATCTACCATTCATCTTATAATACATGAAGTGATGAAACAAAAGGAACTACACATTTGCTACTGAAATACAGGATACACCTCGAAAAACGTGGCAAGCCTAAGCCAAAAAACTGAGATACAAATCTCTATTAAAACTGGGCAAGGCATTGTACAAGGATATATGCATCATCTAAAGACATATAGAATTACCTCAGATAAAATTCCCGTACCAAATTGAACAGGACTTAAACTTCCTTTAGCATGCATTAATTTCATATCAGGGTCATCGAGTATGCAATAGATTCATAAGCAAAATCTCCAGTTTCAGGTACATCAAATCTTCGGAAAAACCAGACCAGAATTCTTTGTGCTTGAGAGTTCAGATCAACACTAAGAAAATATAACCTCTAATCATCTCTGCCTCCGCACAGGAGATCTGGATCTTGACCTTCCCCTGCCAAAACAGTAGAGTTAATAAATCAAGAAAAATTTTGAGTTTGTAACCAAGAAAAAAAAAAAAAAAAAATACAAGTCAAATATTTGGCATCCTGCTACTTTCACCTGAGTTGTATATTGTTATAATGATGGTTGTGTATGTCTTATAAACATTAACACAATCTTAATCTTAAGACAATGTGGCAACATACCTGGTCGTCTCAAGAGAAGAATAGGGAGAATGCCTGCGCTGAGAGTGCTTGCTATGTGGTGACCGCATAACTTGTCTAGAAATGAAAACATCCATCATACTGATACGGTAAGTTCAATATTATATAATTCATGAGAGATATGCTTAGCCTTCTATAGAGTCAAAACTTAATATCCAGCTTGTCATTTCTTTTTTGGCATTAATGACAAAGGATCCCACTCATCAAAGACTACCAACTACAGTGTTATTTTAGGGGAAAAAAACTGAAAACATTATTATAATAGTCATCCCAAAACATCCTAATGACGACTTTATAATGTTTTTTACTGAATAATATGTAAAAAACTTGGACTTTTTAATCTTTTATCTGAAACAGAAGGTCTTTATGGTTGTATTTATAAGAACTCTTAAAAGTTCCATGTGTGGTCCATAAATTCACTATCTTGTCCTACATAACATATCCTTTCCTCTTCATTTCTTTGAACCAAATGACCAATCCATTTTCTTG